GTTAAACCGATAATCGTTTCATCCCTAGCTCATTGCTGTACTTTGTGCAGGTGAGAGGAAAGTGAAAAAGGAAACTCAGCAGCATAGCACTGAAGAATGATAATGCTTGCCCTGCGATGTTTCCTTCAGCAGGTAATAATTGCAGCCTCAGAGATTTTACACCATCTAGCATACAACTACTGCTTCCCCAAGAGGAGCATCGTCCAGGCAGACTGTCTCCAGATGCTTGTGTAAATGTTCTCTCCACTTGTGAACAAATACAACCTAAAAAACAAACTGGCTTTGAGCTTACTGGATTTCTTTTTGCAAGCTAATATATATCCCATCTTCCTGTTCCCCCCCCAAGGTCAATAGAGCAACAATATTGAGTCAGAGATATGGCAGGCATGGTAGCAGATCTGTGCAGATAAAACATCTAGGTTACATCCCAGTGGATGTTCTGTACCCTGACTTGAAACACAATTCCGCCTCATTCTATCCTGTGACAAAAACTCTTGATGTATTGTATGTGATTCTGAAGAGCAAGTCTTGTCTTGAGGGGACGCAGAAACATTTCCCGCCTGTTTCTCTTTTCTGAATTTTAACAGGCTGCATAATGTTGAATCTTTTTCCACTACTAAAGGTTTTATGACGTGGTGGGAAATGACAGCTGAAGACATGATTATGGGGTTTTTGCCTGTGAATTTTCCATATTTCAGAAAAGTGGAATCCAGCTACATTTGGCTGTGTTTTTGAAAAGAGGATTATTTCAGTGTTGCTTGACTTTTTGAGCATTGAGGAAAATGAGAAATACTGAATGGTGATTTGAAAATGCACTGCCATAAAACTTTTAACAACCAGGGCTTAGTTATCAAAGTTCTCTGAATTATACTTAAGACTTGTAAACTTGTGACTGTAAAAAAATCTATGCTCACAATTCAAAATGTAAAAGAACGAGGAGAGGTGGATGTTTCAAATGCAGTTTGAATATTAAGAACCCATTCTGCCACTGTATATCTAAAGTCAAGAAAAGTGTCCTGTCAATTTTGAGGGTGTAGGATTAAAGGAGTATATCTTTTTTTTACTTTGCTTTAAGTCACAGCAAGCCAAATGCCATAAATGACAGCAACACACAGTAAAGACTCTGAGCTGAAATGAAACAAGTGCACATAAATCAGGTAAATAACATGTATAAAATATTTTCAAGCAGTACTGTAATAAGCACGACCAGTCATTTCATCTGGTCCGAATAAAAGGATTGGCTGGCCTACCTGCCTTTCTACCTACCTACTTACCATCTGCGCTTATTGTGCATGAAAATGTGTTCTGGGGGAGAGGCTTTTGAGGGAGGCCTGAAGGGAGGGGGTGGGATTGTTTCAGTTGGATACTTTCAAAATCCAGCCGTCTCTTGCTAGTTTCCCCAGCGTTGCCTACCCTACTACCCAGCCTACTGCTTTAACATTATGTCTGTAGATGATGATACTTCAAAAGTTAATTCTTGTTGTGGTTAACACGGGCAGTGTGGGAATGTGGGTGGGATCACTGGACCAGGGATGGGATAGAGATTGACAGGTTAAGGTTTTTTTGCAGAAATAACGGGTTTTGATTAACACCACCGGAAGAACCATAGATACCTCCTCGTTTTCTAGTCTCCGTCTTTGCCGTTGAATTATTGGCATTGTGAGCACACCAAAATTTGTCGGTCATAAAATCGTCTTGTTTTTGCTGAAAGTGAGTGAAAACATTCTTTAGACTGTTATAGACATTTAGTTTAATTGCTAAACTACAAGTGAACAAAATTTCAATGAATTTGAACGACGACCTTGGGAGTTTTATTGCCCGCAAAATCTGCTAACATTGACCAAGAACGTAAGAAGCAGCAAGCAGAGTGTGTCATAGCCATGTAGTACGAGCACACATTTTGCTTTGATTTCAATGGAAAACAAAGCACCAAATAAAGTAACAACTTTCAAATTTCAAATGACCAGTGTTTTGTTATTACTGAGCCTATAAACATGCTCTTGGTATCATTTTAAATGATATTTAAGCTCTTTTTGTTTTAGCCTTTAACCATGTTGAAAATCTTGCTCACACACCTAGGATCAGGGGATTGACCTTTGTATATGGTTTTTGGTATCTGCGTTTTTTCTTCAACATGCACAGCTCAAAGCACAGATACACAGTAAGCTTTAATAGGCTGCAGGTAGGGAGGCTGATTGGGCTGGGCAATCACCTGTGCAGCTCTCCCTTCAGAACTTATTTAGCCAGGACTGATCAGCCTCCTCCTAGGCTGACGTCCTACCGGGTTTGTCTTGTGTTTCTTCTTTTGTTAATCCTGACAACACACACATACACATCTCACTCATTCGTTCACTGCTGACACAACTGATAGTCATACTTTGCCACACCACATATTACTGGTGATCATTTGATCCTTCTGTTACTTTTATAATAAATCATACCATTGGCTTGCAAGCCAGTTGTGTCTCACCTCCTTTTTGTCACGGGCTACGAGCTGGCTTGTGACACACCAAAGAAGAAGCTTTGTTTGTCTTACTGAATCTTAGGGCCTTTCCCATTTCCCAAATTTCTGTCTCCTCGACTCCTCGATCCTCAAGCTTGTGATCCGGAAATCGATCGCAGCATGCCATCTTGAAGGAAATCTCAATTCTTAGAATGCACACTGAGGAGCGAGGATCGAGGAGGCTTTCTGGAGGAGCTATAAGCGAGGCTACAGCGGTGTATCCTTTGCGGAAGTCTTTTCAGCCGCTGTGATGTTTACAAGAGGCGTGACAAGCAGCTGGACCAATCCATTACCGGAGACGGATGCTGCAGTGTTCCTGTTGTATTCAGAAGTTGTGTCAGTTAAGCCTATTAAAAATAATCAAACGCACGATCAAACTTTCTGCCCTTCACCGTTTGTGTAGCGCCTCATAAAGCGCTGTTCTAACCGCATTCCTTAATGTCATTTCACTTTGATATCACTGATGTTCTTATTGTTGAATGTGATGTGTGGATGGGCAGCAGGATTGTAATAATGAACAGCAAATAGCGGCTGGATGAAGCGTCTCCCCAGTGACACTGTGCGCATTTATGCACGAGCCACAGCAACATAAATTAATAATAATAAATCTCCCGACAGGATCGGTCAGGATCTTATGTTAATTCATATTCTGTGTTCTTCTTCAGATCCAAATGGCCTCTCACAGAGTTCACTTTCATACAGTAAAATTGTTTGGAGTAAAGCAGCCGTGCTCCTGATCAACCCTGAGCTCCATCAGAGTCTAAACGTGGATTATAGAAGCTGAAAGTTTAAGTTTCTTCTCTCTGTCCTGTCAAGTTTATTACTGCAGGGTTTTTCTGTTTTGTCCCAGGATATTTGCTGTGACACTACTGCATGGATGGAAACGTTTAAATGACTGACAGCAGCCTCTCAAGGAAATACATCAATTTAACACACAAGAAAAATCACCTGGAAAGCTACAGGGACCGGTGAAGGTGGGGGTAAAACCTCCATGCAGATGCCGGTCTCTAAATTTGATAAAATAATTAGTTGGGGGGGGCGGGTGGATGATTTATGCGTATAGGCCTATATAAGTTCCGTTACTGTCCGAGCCGATCCGCGCGTCACACCAATTCAGCTGCTATAATCGTGACAAAACAGCTGCTGAAGTCTAATTATTAGGCTAAAATATCAAGCAGAGCATTCAGCACTGATCTGTTTCATGTTTTAATAGCCTAATAGTGCCCATGTAGTCTGCATGTCATTCCAACAGTAGAGTCCTGTGATGACAGCTGTAATTGGGGCTATATGAGATAAATGTGTCATTTTGTAAAGGGACTGATGATGAAACGCTCATCTAATCAGAAGGCGCACTGCAAAAAAGTGGTAGGCTTAGTCTACTGTGTAGCCTAGTGAATGATCAGGCTGCTGGAATATGACTGTTTCCAACAGATGCCATAATGTTTGTTGGAACCTCCAGATGTTTCTACGTGTTATAATGGTAACAGACATGTTTCTGGATTGAAGAAATAATCTGTAGCCTTTAGTGCCGACAGCTGGTCTGCTGCTCTGACAGATCACAGCTCTAACAGTGGACAGATGATGCAGCTGTGCAACAGGTCGTATTTAATTGACGTTGCTATAAAATCTCATTTCGTTAAATGCGTGTTTCCTCGCGTCTCCTGCTAGGCCAGGCTTAGCCAGTTTTCAAAATCTGAAGTAAACAATAGGAGGAAGTACCACTTAAAAATTTTTTAAAAATGTAATCTTTTGTAAGGGCAACAACGGTGCAGCCGATCTGGAGCAAACTTCTGCTCCAGATCGGTATATTGGTGCATAAATAAGAATTATATTAAATAAAAGCAAATAAAAAGCAAGTACTATAACCACAACAGTAACATTACACTAACAATTTAATGTGTATTTACAATTAATAGTTATAATAATAAAGCAACAACAGTTCCTTTTCAAACTACCTCTGTTGTTTTTTTTTCTCCAAACTGCTTCAGTTTCACAAGCCAATGAATTTCCTGTCCATCACGAGCCATGTGTCTCTTGATTTAAGTTAAAACGTTACAACATTACTCAGAATGTAATGACAGAATAACAGCGTTACGAACATTTACACTATCTTACAGCTGCGGGTCTTTCCTCTCAAGTTGTTGCTGGAGTCGTCTGCTGCGTTGGCTGCAGAGGTCTGTGGGGCTGTGGGATCAGAGGACTACGTGAGCTGACTGGCTAGCTGGCTCGTTAGCTTCCCTCGCCGCACTTGCGGAGAACTCAAACGTTTGAGTAAATTTTCGATTTGCCATCAATTTTCATAAAACTCAAACTGATATTCGAAATCTACACAGTTGATTTCTCGCCTCAAAACATTTCAGAAGTGGATTTAGTGATGAAAGAGCATTTTTAAATTGTATAAAAACTTCTGTTGTTGGCCTCTAAAGAAAAGACAGGTTGTTGTTACCATTTTAGTGCTTTGCATTATGGGACACAGTAAGCAAGGTAGATCACTGACCATCCTACTAGCGACACAACCCGTAGCGATCTGCCGGAGAGGGTGCAGGGAGCTCACAGGGCAAGAGAGGTGGTCACGGAGCGACCCGGCGTGCTGCTGTCAGTCAGTGATTGTTCCCTCTGGCTGGATGAAGTCAGAGGATGGGCTGGGGTCTTTAGACACAGTGAGAAATATGATAAATAGCTTATAGTTTCTGATTACCTGGTTAAGTCTTTTAATGCAGAACTTCAGTTATTCAGTAACTCAGGTGTTCCTAAGTTCTAAATTAGCGTCATGTTGTTTTTTCCCCCAGGTAGATCTTGTACAGCACAACACGGTTTAGACCACAACACATCAGGAAACAATGATATCCTGATGTCTTCCCCCTTTGTTCTACACCCTCTACCTCCCTATTCAGAAGCAGAATGTGTCGTCTTGTAAATGCAACAAAATTCTATTTACTCACTTATATGACACTGTCCTTCATCTGGTTCAGCTTCTCAAACGACCAATGCCAATCCTTCTAAAAAGGTGCTTTCTTCCTGTCAGAGCAGGTAAGTCTGGCTCATGATTACAGATGATACAGCTAATTGACAAAAGAAGGAAAAACTGTCTCAGCCCAGCTCTGCCACAGTGGAATACATTAAATATTAATGGGAATTTCCTATTATAACTGCAGAATATTTCCAGTTTTCCAGCCTTTATGGCCTTTGACATGTCCTTTATTAAATCCCTTTGAGCATTTAAAAGCTGACCTGAATGCAGAGTTGGAAGACTGACCTGAGACTGCAATAAACCTGTGAGGACTGCTGCCTTCTTTTGGTGTAAGACTGCAAGCCTGGAAATTAATCCATAAGCAAAGGCAAGTCATGAGTATTTCTTTTCACATATCAATGGTATGTAAAACATAGTTGACAATTAAAATGTCTTACTGTACATAATATGTAGTTATTATTGAACATGTCTTACTGTACAGAATGTGTTTTCAGCTAAGGACATAATAAGGTGTTACCAGATAAAATCATATTTTAGGAATGCAAACATTCATGGGCAAAAAAAGAATACCCTGATTATCTCCTGTTTACACCAACAGCCTCAAATCCTATGGTAACCCAATGCAAGAAATAGTTAAATAGTAGAAATAAATAGTAGAAAAGTGCCATGTTTTGTGTACTGTGGGTAGCCGTGTATGTTCACACTGTGAGGATGAAAAATGTATGGGAAAGGTGTGCCTTAAAAATGGCAGCATGCAGTCACTAAAATAACACAATTTCAGACTGAACTTTTGATGAATACCGCAGTCCCACAATGCAACGCACAATGGAAATGCAGCTGCTCAAAGCTGGAAAACATGTTGATGGTGCTGCAATGGCTCAGAGGTACAGAACCTCCAAAAAAATGAAACTAGTATAACCTTGGGAGAAAACTAAAATGGTGGACAGTGGTGTTCCAAAATTACAGCGTGGTGTGTGGGGGTGGACACCTTGTATTTTTAGTAAAACTTGTAAAGGGAATGGATTTCTTCTACACTAACAACCAGCACACTGAACATTTGAGCATAGTGTGAACTTTATAGTATATAGTATGGAATTGAAACGAAGCTTATATTCTCTTAGATTAAAAAAATGCAGTTCCTCTCCTCTGGATTTTACAAGTGAATGAATTGTAAGTATACAAGTGTTCTTGTGGCCTAGTGATTAAGACGAATACCCTGTAACTGCAGTGTCTCCAGTTTGATTCTGGCCTCTCTCTTCACATGTCTCCTGTCTCTATATTTACTATCAGCTATTCAATAAAGGCAAAGGTGCAAACATTTCTTTAAAAATAATCCAAAGGTGTAATATTCATTATGGATTGAATTTTAAAAATCTAAATTTTCAAAATAAGAAGCAATTCCTACGTCTCTGTCTGTCCAGCTGCCATAATCCAGATGAGAGAAGCTCAATAAGATCTTTGGGACGGCGGAGTGAAACAACTTCCGGTTTGAGCGAGGAAACGACAAATAAGAGACTTGAGAAGCACCCTGCCCCCCGGTTTGCTTCAGGGTTTTCTTCAGGTACTAATGAAGTGATTGGCTTCCACCTGTGCAGTCTGGTAGTGCAGCCCAACACTTCCAGACGAGTTTGTGGTCCTTCATGTGGTTACTGCTTTGTGTATGAGCACACTTTGTAAATTTGCAGATGTAGACAGAGTTATGGTAGGTGGTTGGACGTAGGTCAGTTTGGGGTACCCTGTCCATTTTCACTCACATAGCATACTCCTGTCTAGAAACACTCGGTTTAGAGGTTGGTGCCACATTGTAAGTTTTGCTAAGTTCTGTTTAGATAAGATAGTTGAGCCTTATTATTTGCATTTTGGTTTCTATTGGCAGCTCAGCAAGATCTGGTTTAGATCTTTTATTTGGAACAACCCTTCTGTCCACTACTCACCATGTTTTACAGAACCTAGATTGATCGGATTACCCTGTAATTAAATCTCCTTAACCGTCACTGGCACTTCTTTTATTTGTTAAAGAAGGGGACGTAACACAAGACAGTTGGAGAACAATTAAATACAAAATAGGATGGAGGCTCTACTGATGATTTTTTTTTTCCTGGGCAATTATCAGGTTTTTCCAAAATGAAGTATGGATTTTTAGACATTCTATTAACTCAAACAGCTTGGGCGCGGAAAAAAGAAAAAAAGATGTATATAGCAGCTGTAAATGTTCCCGGACACCCAAGGTTTTGGCTAAGCCCTGACTGTTTACGTCTGCATCCTTAAAACACACACACACACACACACACGTACTTACTCAAGTAGGGGTATCAGCTGTTACACTGGACACAAACTGATAACAGCCAGACATCACTAATTCTAATGAAAGCATTTGATTCGCACTTACCGTGTGAATAATTCAGCTTGGCATCAAATGAAAGTCACTCAGGCACCATCTGAGACGGCCCACATGTGAGCAGAGGAAACGACTCCATCCTGTGGTTATTATTCCCTGTGGCAGCAAATCTAAAGGGATACACTGACCTTTGATGTCAAGCAGATAAAAAGTGAAAAAAGCTCACTCACCTACTCCACTGCATTCTTACACTTTTAAAGTTTAAAAACAGGCCACCAATCGCACAGTGAGGCGCCTTTTTATTACACAACACTGTCACATCCTGCCTTGTCACATAATATTATTAATGAGGATAAAAACCCCTCGGCCCGACCCGAGGCTTCCACCACACGCTCCCAACAGACTCCATAGAAAAATGAAGAGTATGAATTAAAAGAGCTGGTCCTGGCCGTTAATTTCAGTAAATAATTATCCTGCCACTCGTATAGCAGTATTTTATCTCGCCATCAGTTTAAAGAAAACATTAATCTCCCCAGGCGACAGAAACCAATAAAGCATTAAAACTTTTAAACTGTGCTCAACATTTCTTCTTCTGTGGCATGCATGCAAAGGCTATTTTTAATTGAGTTCTGGCTCCAACCTGCTTCTCCTATTGCATCTACTTGAACCTTAATTACAGGGGTCTGCCTGTGCAAGAAAGCAAGGTAATAGAATATGGCCACAGGTCATCACATTTAATAGTATGACTCATCATTAACACTTCGGCAACAGCGATCGATCGTGCATAAGTGAAAAGAATACTTGAAAACAAGGCTGAGCTAGAGACTAAGTGCTCCATCAGATAAAGGAGAGCCATAACTCACAGTCGGCGTAGACGGGGGCTGTTGGTGTTTTTCTCACTCCAAAGAAGGTTCAGATTACTGATCATCAGCAGCACTCTCCACAGACAGGCAGCCACAGACTCTCAATGCTCCCTCCATCAAACAGGATGGTTGAGGTGGACCACTCTTGACAGAGTCACAGCCAGCTACCAAAAATAATTCAATTTTTAAATTTTCTGAAAATTTGATGTCTCAACATGAAGATCTTCATGCTGCTCCAAAGATAAATACTAAATTCCGGTGTCACTGGAAAATCACATTCACAGATTTTTTTTAATAAACAAATTCTTATTGATTTTACTCACTAAAACATCTAATGATTAATTTCTAGATGAGAAAGGAAACATGTTTTTGGAAGCTGAATAAGCAGCAGCATCAAGTCTACCATTCTCTGCCCTGCTGCTCTCCTCCTGTCTTTTCTCCAACAACAATAAAGACATGATTCACCAAATAATGAAGATTAACTTTACAGTTAATAGACGAGATTTGTCACCACCAATGTTTGAGGAAATTAGAAAGTGAACCGTTTTGATGATTTTCTCAGCATTTCTGATGAGCTTCTCGACAGCTTCAGTGATGCTGATAGGTTTTCAATGGTCTGAGTCCCTTGGGACCCACAGGTGGCCATTTTAGTGGATCCCCAGGAAATGAAGTAGGCCCCCATTAAAATGTGATTTTTTTGACAAATTGTAGTGGTGTTCAGGAATGGGTATCGTTGAGATTTTATCAATACTATTGGGTTGAATCCATACCACAAAATAACTCTCTACTACTTTCTGTCTGTCTGTGAACTCCTGTCCTTCCATGCATGTTTGTCAGTGTGACCAACTGGCCCTTCTAGCTAGCCAAGTTCTCCAGTCACCTACGTATTACGACTAATCCCCTTTATTAAAAATGTACTTTAAAATTGTATTTGCAGTGTGTGTTTACTAATGTTTGTGCGGCAGTAACAGGGGTGGACTGGTAATCTGTAGGGGTGGGAATCACCAGAGGCCCCACAATATGATATTATCACGATATTTATGTTGTGATTCGATTTTATTGCAATTTTAAATATATTGAGATATTTTGTAATTTATTACCTTTTTCCATCTTCCAATTAGGTTCCTAAAGTCAAACTTTGTCAACATCTGTTTATCTAAAAAGAGAGTTTGTTCATATCACTCTTTCAGTCCTCTATATGGTCCTGTTAAGTTCTCTAGTGGACTAAAAAAGCAATCGATTTTATTATTCTAGTACCAAAAAGTTAAAACTCCCATCTGCAATTTATATAATAAAATATTGATACTTCCGTGTATCGATACAGTATTGCCATGGCAAATATTCCGATACTATGCTGTATTGATTTATTCCCCCACCGCTAGTAATCTGGCATACTGGGCAGCCGACGAACCTTTGGGGCCGGTGTAACGTAATGGAGAGCTGTGGCCACTGCCACAGAGTGACAAAGTGACAGGGCTGAGGGAGAGAGAGAGAGCAGGAGAAGAGTAGAGGTGAAGCGGTAAGCATGGAGTTGCTTAACAGGGACCCGTAGGGAGGGATCAGGGAGGGTCAGGTGTCACTTACACTGGGGACATGGCACTTTTGAAAGCATTTGTTAAAAATGTTCTAAAACAAATAACTCACCAAGAAATGTTAATTAACAAATGAAAATGCTTTGAGAAAGGTTTATTTGCCCAACAAGAAAATCTGCAATGCAGCTATATAAATATAGAAGAAACCAAAACAAGTAACTGAAACATAAATGAATAATAAGCTACTGATTACTGCAGTATATTCTATTATATTTTTATATTCTGAATTGTCACCTGCCACTTGAATTTTGTGTTTCCCTCAAAATCAATACAGACATTTCCACCATAAATTGGGGCAGAAAATGTCTCCAGAATGCAGGAAATTAAGTGTTTAATGCTCAAAATCTTCTGGGGGAAAAACCCCTAGGCCCCCCTATCAAATATTTCATCAATATTTTTTCTATATATTACAATATCATCATGAAATCAGTAAATGAGTACACTGATTCTTCACTTGCACTGGTACCTTTATCCACGGCACATACCACTCAGTTGGTTTGGGGGAGTATTATAGTAGGTACATGTATGGAAAGATGGTGTGTTGGTGAGGGGTGTCCGACCGATTTTGGTGGGCTGCCTGGGCCAAAAATGCCAGGGCTGATTTTTTTTTTTCTAGCCCTGGGCAGTACGCATGCTTTTCTGGGTTATTTAATTCAGTTCTTGAAACACAAACTATTAAAAAATATAGTTACTCAATATTAATCTAATTTAATTCACAAACAAGTAAAAATATCAAATCCTATTTTATTTGAAATAAAAAAATATTTACTCAGTTGAATCAAATACGCTCTGAATTGGAGTGTGATGTGTTGTTACAAAATGCATAAATGTATGAAATATTTCTGCATCAGATCATGCACCATGTACAGTATCTACCATGCATAAAGTATCTGAGGGAGAGTTACATTCCTAGCCTAGTTTCTGTTTGCCTAAAGGTGATCAAAGACAAATGTATCTGAAAAATACAGGAAGCATCGTGTTAAATGCCCACCATGTATATGCTTTAATTGTAGAATATAAACTCCTTTTAGGTCCCTAAAACCCATAAATTCTGAGACCATATTCAGAGGCCATGATCACTGCGGGAAGCTCTTGCTCCGATCCCTCTGAGTCAACATTTCAGTTAAACACTCATGTAAAACTCACCACTAAATCCAAATATTTTAAGAAATCTGGGCATGACTGGTCATAAAGTGGGTTATAGAAGAATAGTAAGTTGTTAACTCAGACATTTTCATTTGACAGAATCCTAAAGCAGCTTGTAAAAGTGTGTGAGCAGGTAATTTGTAAGTATATGCTGTATAACTCTGGGCCTGCTTCCAGTAAATTGCTGCTACTGCCTGCTAGACACTTTTGCAACTTCCTCAAATTGTTAAAGCTCTCCGTTAACATTCAAAATAGCCTCAGCAACTCATACAAAGCCAAGAAGCTGAGGAGAAGCTGCGTCCAGCAGCACAAGTCTGCCAGCACTACTAAGTATTTCACGCTTATTGTTTCTGTCCCCAGGCGCTGAATATTTTGAATCTTTAAAATGTACTGTGCAGTGATACTTGCAAGCGTTCCATCCACTGCCCTGCAGGGGATGCAACGATCTGCCAAAGACGTTGGTTGTCATGGTAACTCTGACAGCACCTTCCCATAAAAGCTCTAATTGATAGCAGACGATAGCTGCAGAGAATTAAGCATCACACCCCGATCGCTGGCGCTACGTGCACACAAAGGCACTGACAGCCAGACAAAGCCCATGTGCAGACCCGTGTGTGGCCAATCCAGGCTTCAGACGCAAGGGTTCTCTGCTGGGACAAATCTGCACCCAAAATCCTGAAACAAACCTTAGATAACCCACATTTGAAGTCATGTTAACTCCTAAAAGAAAAACTAAAGCTAAAATAGCTTTTTTTCATTTGTATGATACATTATAGTCAGAAACCATCATTTCTAATGATCTTGTCCTTTAACTTGTATTTTTCAGGAGAGAAAAAAGCTTTCAGGCCCTAAAAAGAAATTTCCCATTCTATGGTTTTCCACCAATTCTGAACAGCCCACAGGGAAAGCACTTCCCGCAAAATTTGATGAACCTGCCTCTCATTTGGTTAGAGATGCCATTACTCTGCTGAAATGACTTGGAGTAAATCAGCTTGCTGCTAGAAATATAATTATGAATGATTTTTGCATTTAGTATGGCAGCATTATGTCCATGCATGTCAATAAAGCTTGAGTGGTAAGTCTTTTTTATTGCTGTGTTTCAGCAGCAGCAGCAGCGGGGCTAATGCTGAGAGAGAAAGTATTGAGCCGTGATTCAACAAGAAGTTGGGAGAAAAAAATGAACTAACAGTGCCTCTGCCTCTCTGTGTGTCTGTCTGCAGACAGCTGGAGCAGTCAAACATCAGCTTTTTTGTCAACACACTGAGCTAGATGAAAAAGCTCACACAGACAGAAAGGACTGCAGGGTTTGAATTTTTGTCTACAGTTTCTGTGCTCTGGCTGCTTGTTTTCAAATTAGACATCTATACTGGGCTTATACCTGACATGACATACTGGCAAAAATGAACAAGCAGTTGTGAGGCCGACCTAATACAAACATACATCAAACACATCGGGAAACAACAAAGTTCAGGCATGCCAACTTGAATCTGCTGGAGCTGACGCAACAGGGAGTACAGAGTGAGCAGAAACTCACTATGTACCGATTAGACCTCTGTATTAATGGCTGATTTGAGCTTATCACAGGTAGGGCTACTCGATTATCACTATTATTTTGGTCAATATTGAGATCACGATTATTTAACATGATTACTCATTGACTAAGGAAACATCATGCATTTATTGAACTTTTAAAATTGAACGCTTCATATTTAAAACTATTATATATGCATTACCACCCAAATCCCAAACAGACCGTGAAATAGGAAATAGTACTCCAACATGATTAGCCTTAAATAGCATCTTAGAGCGCAGGAGGACGATAGCAACACAGTGTTTGCCCTGGCTGACTGCTTGTCGGGGGCAGTGGGGCCGTCGAGGGGGGTTTCGCGCGCACACACACAGTGTGGAGCAGAGCAGGTGATGAACTACTCGAGGTGACGACAACTTGTTACGTTTAACAAAGCTGAAATTCATCTATGATGTTCTGTCAGTGACTTAAACCAGCAGTGAGTAAGAAAAGTATAAATGAGTATTAATAGTATGAAATTTGTTAAGCTGAGTAGAGGAACAGGCCGCTAGCCACTAGGCTAATTTATGCAGTGTAAAGCGCTATAGGCTTAAGCTAATAATGGTGACACGCAAGTTAAAGCGTGTTCCATCGTTACCATGAAAACACACACTGTGGTTTATTTTGAGTCATTCCCACACACACTGTCCTACTGTCGTTAATTCTCACTAAAAGTGTATTAATCCGCCGCTGAAAACAGTCCCCATCAAATATACTATTTCCTGTTTGAGTAATGTTTGTTAAAAACTACAGTGACTATGTTGTCTGTTATTGTATCTATTTTGTTATATAGTTATTAGTTTTATAGTTACTAATTTCATTTCCAGGGAGGTTTACTGTTCAAGATTTACAATTAAATTTAAATTCTATCCTGCTACAGCTGATAACAGAGCTTACTGAACCCACAGCGCTAACTGATACCTGACTGCTAACATTTTAAGCATGAGTGACCCCCATGGAAATCACCACTATCCTCAATCCACTGAGCAACACAGGCCCATAAACAATCTTCACTGCTAAATGGGGAGGTTTTATTTCCAGACACCTCATCCACCTGGACAACGGCTTTGTTTGCTCGGTTTCAAACTCATTGCTCTTTGAAGGGCTGTGGCTGCTGTGATACGAGGTGAGGCAGAGCAGAGGACGGACAGTCAGAGAGAGAGAGATCCAGCAAGCAGGGGGAGAAAGGGAAGGGCCGCCAGAAGTCAAATACACAGCAAACACAACGGTAATAAATATGGATCAATGCAAAATACCAGCACAACTTCCATCAAGAAATCTGGTGATGACCGTGATACAAGGTTCAAATGTTCTGGTTCTTGGTTTTTCAAAGGCTCTTGACAAATTGGTTTGCTGAAGAATGTATCATCCTATAAATATAATTAGCATTCTGTGCAAGCATTATCTATACAGGTCAGAGAAAAAAAAGAGCAGCTTCATCATCAGCAGCAACTTGTTCAAAGTATCTCCTATGCCCTGGTTAACATGAACACTATTCCAAAACAGAGCTACATCGATTAGTTGTAAACTACAAATTTTAACTATTTGGATAATCAATCGGTTTGAGTAATTTATTTAATGAATCCCAGGCTTGCACTGTGGCTCCGCTTATGGAGGACACAGAAAATGAATCAAACGAATCTGGGGAATGGAACCCATATGGCTAATGGACGTGGGTTATGATATTGTTTTGGAAGGCTCCGCAACATGCCGTCCTTCAGATGCAACAGGGCCACAGATCTCCACAAATCATTTCTGCGGGATAATAGAACACGCTTGATCAGACCCAGGAGGAGGGCATGCCAGGGAAAAGAAGGAGACCAGTCTGTGAATAATGATAACGGTCACCTTAGTCATATATCACCAACCTGAGAGAAGATGACTTGGATAAGGGTGTCAGTGTAGAGGGCTGACAAATGTCTGCACCATCCTTAGATTCCAATCCCACAAATCCACCCTCCTCCTCTCTGTGTCTGCCTCCATAATTGCTTGCTAAGGCAGAAATTAATCCATGTTATAGCTACCGACACACGTCTTTGTAAAGGCACATTGCAGGTTGACCATCATGAATCTGGAGTGATGACAAAGCACGCTTCAGGGCCTCACTGAAGTGTCTTGCTTGCTAAAGTTATCAGGAACTGGTAACCAAGGTCATGTTGGTACAGTACGTAGGTCTTTGCCTAAGATATTGGATGCATTCAATTAGCGCTTCTACGAAAGGCGAACGTGAGTGAAATGTAATAACTGGTTCAGGCGTAGGGGAGTGGCCGGATTGACACCCTGGAAAGGCTGCAGTGAAATTAGACTGATAGACAAACTTTTCCCTGCTCTCTTTTTCCCCCCCGCTGCTTTCCTGCACTTGGAAGCCTCCTGGTCAGAGCTCAGTCGTTTTTCGTCTGCGCTCCATTTGTTACTCCCAGAAGGTCATTGGAGAGCATTTTCAGGCCCTTCCTCAATGTCCGTTGCCGCCCTGCCCACAGGAGTCATTAGAAAGAAGAGGACAATATTCTGTACTGGCTTCAGCTAACTGTGTGCCGTCATGACCTCGTGTAGCTCAAATGAGTCCTTCAGGAACACATCTACTCTTATCCTTTGATGAGATCCACACTCAAGGACTGTGATGCATTGTGGGGTGATGCGATTACCTTTAGGTTGAGGTGAAATGTTGCTAAGAGGACTCACTGGCACTAAATATAGATTAGGTCAGAGGAATTGCACAAACAACAAAACCGGGCGTTCCTCCTATTGAGGACACAGAGGTCATGACCTCTGGATTTTTTTTCTGTGAATTAGGGTGTTTTAGCAACCTGGAGGGAGGGGGATATAGGCTGCTACAGCATTTTTAGACTCTGTCTATTCAAGTTTGACTATTTTAGGACAACATAAATAAATAAAATCAATAAGTAGGTTTTGGAGTGGGTGTGGCTGCCTGTGTATGGTTGTGTGTAAATGTTTAGAACATTACAATAAATCACTTTTATTATTATTGTGGATATAATGAACCATCAAGATTGCACTGAATTGTGTTGTACTTGTACAATGACAAAGGAATCTGAATCTGAAATATAGGGGTGTAAAAGAATATGAATGCAGATTATAGGTTGGAGGCTAAAAACACAAAGGTAAATAGTTTAGATTTCAATACTTATTCAGCTTGATACATTCAGCCACACTCATCCTTATTATTTTTCATCAGTTTCCCCCAGATGAATTGCCAAATGAGTAAATGTAAATGAATTGTTCCACTGTTTTTTTTTACCTCCTGATCCAATACTGAAGCAAGTTCAATCCCAAAACATTTAGCACCTTTTTGCTATGGTTTCCGTGTTGAACGACGTTTCCCCAAAACGCTGTGCAACGGTGCACAACAGGCTTTGAGGTACAGTTTCTCTTGTTTGGTGGGCGTGTCAGAGGAGTTACCCACCCAGAAACTGTAGCAAATCGGTGCAAAACATTTTGAGATTGCCCCAGGACTTGACAGAAGACAGGAAACTGAGGAGTAGGAGTTAGGGGCCATCTCAAAAGTGCAATGCAAACGGGCCACAGGAGCTGTCCAGATTTTTGTCAATACCTTTTTCTAAAAAAAAAAATTTAAATACACGTTTCAAACTTCTTTTTTTTGTTGTTTTCCACCCAGACTGTTAATAACAGTTACACAGCTTTGATTGATGCTCTGCTTTGAAATTGGGGTTCAAATTCAAATCATGTTTTATTATATTATTATTAATTATTAATTAATTCATAGTTAAAAGATGATATTTTTTGATAAACTATGCATGCGGAGTATAAATAACAGTAGAAAACAATTTAATGTAGAAGTGAAGTAGACTGGGTAATTTCTAACAAGGTCCGGTATAGGTCACGCCTACTTCTGGTATAATCCAGAAACATAAAGACATACAGATAGAAGCTTTTCATTTATTCTAAAAAATGCATTGTTACTGCTGCAACTATCATAATATCCAATCAGTATGATCCAAATGCTCAAGAATATTAAATAATAATATAGTGTTTTCTTATCTGGTTTGGTTAGGTTTAGGAAAGATCTTGGTCATTTAAAAAAGATTACAAAGTGACTATAGGTGCGAGGAAAATTGACAGCATTGATAGAAACTGTTCAGAGCTGTTAGTTTGGGGTCCAATGGTGCAAGCAACGCATGTTAAAGTCTGAAATATGGTAGACACAATGCAGAACTGGGATAACCAAGTATCTGGAGGAGCTTATATAAGCAGCAGTATCATGCTGTTGGTATTAAACCAAAGCACTGTATTATCCAACACACCTAATATCGCTCATTACTCTGCACTTTTGCAATCTGCCTTTTTCATCCTGATTCTCAAAGGCTGCCACGGAGCTTTAGGCACTTAACTAATAACAAAAGCCCCATTAGAGAGTTAATGCAGAGTAATGGTGACAAGCAGCAGCACTGAAAATAGCACCTGTCGCCTGAGACAATAATAAATCGCCTGACACAAGACCGAATGTGCACTGACACAAACACAAGGGAGAAAGTAAGAAATGTTGAACGATGTGGCGTTGAATGTGAAAACTGGACCCCTTAGTTTTAACTAATCCTCTCCACCTTCTGAAGGGAGTCTGAGTGTAACTGCCAGTTTTAAATGTTAAAACAGGAAAAGACTGTGCAGGTAGTAAAATTAAACTCTGGATGTGGAGGCAAGTCCATGATCTAGGGAAACAATTGAACAGTGTTTCAGTTTGCTGCTGCAGAGGCATGCACATGGAACGATGCTTCTGTCTTTGAAAATGATGTTTGATCATTTAGCTGATGCACCAGAAGAGCAGTGCTGCAGGGGGAGGAACAGAAGTTTGTTGCAATGTAGCTGAAACTTGATCATTCATGTTACAGAATTAGTTCATATGAAAACAATGCCAATCTTCTAAGGTCAGGAAACTACAGAAATAGAATGTAGAGTCTCTGCAGGAATGCTGTACTGATTATACAAAGACCACACCATAACGTGCCATAAGGTCACTATAAACTCATTATGGGTACATCCGGGACACTATGTAGATATGAAAGAAATCTTTTGAATAGCTATGTTTAATAATCTACCTTCTGCAAGCAGACCTTGTTTTGCAAAAGCTTTGACCAAACAAAAACTCTACGAAAAGATGACTGGCGTTCTGTTTACCTGTTCGGCATCCTCCTCGGGACACAGCGGCTACCCTTCCAGCCAGACGCTCAGCAGGAACAGCCGGGATGCAGTGGGTGTCACAAAACCTCTCCACATCTCCCTAGGAGGCGTGTGGCTTCAGGTTAAACCGGTGTGGAAGTGAAAAGGGTTCGGATGTTCCGCTCAGCGTGCGCGCTCGGGCGGCCAGGTGCGCAAAGAACATGCAGAAACACTCACTATGCGTCCCGTCGCGACGAGATTGTTACATTTTCTCTCGTTGTCCTCTTCGTTTAAAGTAAAGTAAACAGGGAGGCTTTCTGAAGTCCACTTACAGGAGCGCCCTCCTCCAGCACCCCGCGCATCAGTGTGGCGGTAGAGACGCGTGGAGCTCGCTGTAGTACTGCTGTCTGGAGGAGGCAGCGCGGGGAGAGATGGGGCGTGTTCCTCAAGGAGGAGGAGGAGGAGGAGGAGGGCGGATGCGCAAAGATGCTCGGCTCAGAGTGAGAAAAGTTTCTAAAAGTACACCAAGGATAACAGAGTAATGGCCTCCAGATTTCCTACAATATGAATTACTTCGAAGTTCAGGGATGAGATGCAAATTTTGACACCATGTTACATATTTGTGTTTTCCGGATTCCACGTCACAAACTAGGTTGATGTGTCAAGGAGGGAGTCTAGGCAAGAGATTTACTTTAAACAATTTATTAAAACTAAAGTTAACACAAATGAACAGTGAGGAGTGGAAGTCAGTATCAACAATGAAAGCACTGCATGGTGAGGAGGTGCTGTGCGCTGTGTTGGTGCAAAAGAAGGTGAAACAGCATGGATGTAAGTCACTCTAGCCTGACTGACAGGTCACCATGGTAATGACTTGTCAATCACACATAATACCGCCCTGAAGCATAGTCTGCTTAATGGTCTATTTTTTCCTCTGAATGGGACCATAATTTACTAAATGATCATTTTGTTTTAAAGAAGACATGAAACTAGTGATTGAGACCATAAACCATTCAGGAAAGTGTTTACTGGGGTAATTATTTACCTGAGAAGTAGGGTAATTTCACCATTATTTCTAATGGAGCTGGACTAGAAGAGTCGCCCCCTGCTGGCCGTTCAGTAGAATGCAGGTTTAAGGGACTTCCGCATTGGCTTTGCTCTCAGACCACAAGCTTCTCGCTCGGCCTAGGCGAGCTTATTCAGCCGATGACCCTCCCATGTCAGTAAATTGCCTGCTGAAGCTGGCCAGGTGAGCCTCCAAGACAGTGAGAGAGGCATGACAGCATTCATTTGGAGTTGACCTCATTAATATAAGTCTCTCAAGACTCTCTCTCCTCTTAGCTCTGTTGTGGTCTTCACCAGCCCCTGAGAAAAATGAATGGTTAGTTGCTGAGCAGGTAGAGTTGGTTTATTAGAACATGAAAATAGCTGCCTGCTAAATAGATGCTTGAAATGAGGTTAATGAGAGCGGTGAGAGTGAGCCAAAACAGTTGTGGCCCTGAAAGATAAAACAAGCAATGAGCTGAAAGACACTAAAACGCACAGAGCTGAAGGGATTTGCAGTGTTGGTTGATTGGTGTCTGTGGGTTTGTTTTTATAAGGAACCCCTTGCACATTCCACATAGTCATTCGATCCATTGCTAATATAACAACATTGATTAGAACATTGTTAAATTGCTCTGTGAAATGGGAGAAGTATCTACTGTATATTGTAGCAACTTAACTGCATTATAGCTGGATACTGAATATTTAAATTAGCTTTTTTGTGACAGTTTGAATGCAGCTGAACGCAGTCATGCAGATTTAGTACTGTATTGCTCTACACAAACACCTGCATTATCATTTAGCACATTTACAAACTCACAGTTTCATCCACAGAATCTGTTGAAGATTAGAAGATACGCATGAAAGTGTGGGCCCACAGGTTGTTTTGGATGCTTGTGTGCATGCATGCATAAGCTTGGCCATGTGTCCATGTACTCATACATACATATATGCTGTATTCTTCCTCATTTCCTCCTTACTGATTCCCCTTATTTCTAAGTTAAATGGGATGGGATGGGGATTAGGGGGGGGATTCATATTTGATCAACTGTGCATTCAGCAATGCAGTATGCATTAAACTGTTGTGCAGCCACACGGCAGTATTCATATTTTTTGCGAGAAAGAAAGAAATAAGAAAAGTGATGCGGAGATTATCATGCTATCAGTCGAAGAGGCGATATTAAAATAACATCGTTGTTACTGTTTGCTAACTCCTGACCAAACAGATGTGTGTGAGTGCATTCCAGCTGATGTACAGCCTGAGTGTGGAGTGAAAGGGACTTTATGTCGTATCCACAATATTTGAGCTCCTTCTCTGATTGCCTATATCCTCCCAAATAAGCCATCAGTCTGACACAGCACATTTCAGTTAGCTAGTAAGCAGCTCGATCTGCCTGTGCAGGGGTCCTGTTGCGTCATACCACAATTTCTTTACGAAAAGCTATTTGAGGAAGGCTGGTGTCTCGGGCACTGGCTTTGGGCTGCCAGATGGTCCTGTGTAAGAACTTTGAATTATTCAGCCATCCCACAGCAGATTGAAGCTGTCATGCGTAAGACAAGTTGGCTGGCCTCTTCCTGTGCCGGGGAACACCAGCGGATGAGTGCGAACAGCTTCTGCAGTGATCCTACCGGTTATGCAACTCCACATTCAAATTTCACTAATGTACAATTTAGGCCTGGCTTACAATTTACTGCAGGATGGAATGTTATATTTCTATTTTTTTTACATCAGACCCAATATGTGTTATGCTTTCACAGAGAGGGATGAGAATCATAAATTATTCACCTGGTCTGTCTTTTATGTGTGAATGCTGAGCTCACAGCGGCGCTGGCGCATCTAGAAACAAGCAGTTAAGCTTTTTAATAGATACACAGTATCTGTTTGTGCCATTCCCTAATGCATCACATTAAGTCAGAGTGTGTCACACACAATTATGGAAATGACTAAAGTTGGACAAGAATGCGTGAAAAGCCATAAACCAAAACATTGTCATAAATTTTCTGAAAGACATCATGTGAGTCTTTAGACATTTAATGTGCTACAATTACCATACTGGCCATTAGTGATATTAGAGTGAAGCTTTACTGATGGCCGGGATCATGATTAGAGCCATAATTTAGCAGGATAACTCCTGTCACTTTTACAGAGCCATTGACACTGTGAATACACGCCATTACTAAATACTGCTGCACAATATATCACCACATTAGTGATGATATATGCTCCGTATCACTTTCTCCTCATACCTACCTCATTTGCCTCTAACTAAAACCAGCCATGCTTTGTCAAGGTTGAGATGATCCAAACTGAATGACACAGATGTGGTCTCGTCCTTATTTTTGTTTGCTGTCAAAGTGTGGGTGGGGGGCTAATCCTTTCAAAACAAGATGAAGAAATCCAATTCGCTGTGTATACCTGTGTGTGTGGTGTAATCACCCTGAGAGTGGCCCATTAATCCAGTTGGGGGGTGGTGCTTTGATCTCTGGCTGAGTGGCCCTACAGCGAAGCTCTCGAGCTCACCACCTCTGCTAAGAATCACTCAAAATTAGAAAGGACTTCTTATGTGAAATGGGTTAATAGTGCTCCTTCAGTCAAGAGGGCTGTCCTGCTCGCACACACTGCTTAGACGTGAATAAGTGATCCAATTTCAGATGAGGGCCTCTTTGCATGAGGGAAGCAAAGTAGTTATGTACTCTACAAAACAACCTGTGTAAAAGAAAATTAAACAATTTCAGATCCTTACACTGTAATTGCATAAAGGTATTTACTGCAAGTGTCTGCTACTTGCGTCTGGCTGATGTACACTTGCACATGCAGTATGTGTTCCAGACATCGAGTCTAACAAACCTGCGGTATGTTATGACCTGGCTCAAAAGGCCACAACAAACGGGAGACACACCATGGTAAAAGTTTAACAAAATGTTTATTTAAACCACAATTAACCAAATTTAAGAAGTATTTCAAACTAACATTAAAGTATGAGGTATGTAGTCTATGGTTTCAGTAGTGTCTGTGCAGGATGATGGTTGCATGAACGTATGTGTGAAGGTGTTGTAGTATGCAAAACAAGATAAATACCACAACGCAATAGACCAACCAAAGAAAACCAAACTAAATGGGAAACCAGGGAGCCGGCCCGCAGGGAGGTCTGACCTGGCCTCGACAGCATCCTCTTTGCAGAATGAGAAGACAGTCCCAAATACTCTACAGGACAATTAGCCCAGGTGCCCAGAGGCCACACCCACTGACGACATCGCAACTAGAGAATTTAAAAAGTCATTTGAAGCAAACAAAGTAAGGCTTTGATTTTGGTAACATCACATTACGTGCATTTGTATTTGTAGCTTAATTCTTTAGTTAAAACAGGATTAATTCAATTTCATTTTAGGCACTTATTGAGATATTATCACCTTAAAGGGGAACGCCACCAATTTGACACATCACTGTCTGTTCAGAAAACAGGTGGTGGGGAATGCTACTGCATAGTTAAAGCCTTTTGTGGCTTCAGAGGGAACAGCCTGAAATTGGATAAATTACCTCAGGTGATGTCACTTGAGTCAAGTTGGGGCTGAAGATTACAAGTCTGAAAAAGAAAAAAATCTGGGGTGGGGGTTAGAAAGAAGTGAGTTTACCAGAACTCTGTAGCATGCTCATCTCGGCTTGAGGCTAGAAGCTAGCTGCTACTTGCATAACACACCTGAATCTCAGACTGAACTGTTGGTGCTTAGGTTGCTTTGTGAGTAATGGTTGTGACAAGGAAGAATTATGCCAGGGCTGCTTTTCAATTTAGTTTGGAGTGAGATTCGGTATTGGAGGTCGGTTCATTTTAGGCCTTCTGTGTCATATCCCATGGCAGGGGTCGGGGTCATCGCTCTTTAATGTGCATGCCAGAGCCACATGTATGTGTAGATGAAAAGCCAAGTCAATAATCATGGTCAGATCACTGTGATCAGGGTAACTCCAGACATGATAGCCTTAATTTTGACCAACCTAACCATGTACTGGGGAGTCTTTCCCCCCAGAATCTAGGCCTGTGTTTCTTTTAATTCTAGAGAATGTATGGAATATTATAGTTTAGTTCATAATAAGAGTGTAGGTTTTCCTTTAGCAATGGAGGAGCCACTTATTAAGAGGGGGGGTCGGGGGGACCTCCCCCTGCAAAGTTTTAGCTTTAAATACTTAATTTCCTGCATTCTGGTGAAACTTTCTGGAGCAATGTTTTTATCTAGGCTATGTCAACAGAAACACAACTCAGGCAGCAGGTGACAATTTAAAATATACCAGATTTTAATTCAGTAGGTGTATGGCTTTCAAGCATTTTGTATTT